GATCAGCAAATACGATGTCGTCACTGGTCAAAAAAAATTATATAAATTTAAATAATTACAGACTTGTAAAAGAATTTGAATTTGAATTTTAAAAGATCAATTTATTTCTATTTTTATTATTATTATTATATATATTTGTTTTATTTTTATCTTTTATCTTTATTTTATTTTACTTTTTTAAAAAAAAAAAGACGCGAACTTTTCCGTTAAACTTGTTTCACAAGCCGGACAGACCAACGCTGATGAAAACGCATTATTGGCACAGTCAACTAGAATACGCGAAAATATTGATTGTATGAGAGTCATTAAATAACATATTCATTGCGATTTTGGAAGATGAAGTACCACAAAAAATATCTAAAGAAAGTGAGAGAAAAGAAAAAAAGTCAATGGTTTAACAAAATTCAACGAATTTGAGATGAAAATGACCATTTCTTACGCGAGCAAGTCGTTACACACGCGCGGCCTTCAGTATTTAGGATCTTACGACATTGTACGACGTTGCATCTCAAATCTGATTCCATTTTATTTTTTTTAAAAAGATTGAGAAAATAGCGCCAGAACAAAAAAGGGCAAAAAGTAAAAGTCAAGGTTATCTGTAATCCCGCTAGCTTTAAATTATATACCTTACATATGATCAGTTTCGTTATCAGTAAATTATTAACAAATAAGAATAGTAAATATGTTGATGGTTGATCAATCTATTGAATTTAGATATATTAATTATGCAATTTAAATTTATTTAATTTTTAACATATCGGTATAAAATCGATATTAGATATTTCAGTATTTTAATGAGAATAAATCACAAATTTTTTTGGCAAATACGTACTACTTAAAAATGAACTGTGGCGAATAATAACGATAGACATGAATAACCAATTAAAAATCCAAAAAAACCAAATTCTGTTTTACAACTATTAAGTCACATTTCTCTGTAGTCCATTGTATTAATTAAATTTGGTCATCAAGAATATACGTACAGTACGTAGGATGAAATGACTTCATATAAGCACATTGAGCAACTAATATTTTATTATTGTTGGGATAAGAATTATAATACTATTGTAATAACTTCAGAATTTGCGAGTTAAGTATGATTTGTAATAGATAACCTCATCATACATTCATATAAATTATAAATTATATAAATTAATCGTATGCATATGCTGTATATCCACGTTTGATACGTATATAATGCATGTTTTAAATAACCCTTGTTGGTATACGTACGTACGGTACATACTTGTTCAACTAAGATCACGCATTTGACGTTAAAAAAAATTACTGTAACATTATTATGTTACAGCATTCTAAATTTCCTTATTGGGACAGCAAGTAAAATATATAACGTTAAAACGTTAATCATGTATCAATATGTGAATTTGTGCATTAATTACATAATGAACATAATGTTAACAAACACTTAAATCTTAATCACGTGAATTACGTAATGCTACCAATTAATCCTTGTATTATCGTATCGTTATTTGTTATAATTCTTCGATCGACTATATATACGTATAAGTGCATATGAAATTCCGACCCAAACGATCCAGTTTCTCTTTTTGCGGGGGCTTATGCGTATTAATTTGTTAATTGTATTAATTGTATTAATTGAATTTAAATAGCATAAAAAAAAAGCTCTATGGCGTGTTTTTCGCCCAAAAATTTTTTTTTTATTCCTTGTTCTGGGTAATAAAAGACTTTATTTAATCCTTCCTTTTTTTCATCGCCATCATTCTTAATCCAATTTAGAATTAGATTGCCGGTGGTAAATAATGTGCCCGAAGTTTGATGTTTAATGTTTTTTTTTGAATTATTACAGGTAAGGTTAATTTGTTTTCTGATTGGTTCATAAAATAAGTTCATTGAAATTTCTCGGAAAAGTTACACCGTTCCATTTTTATATATAGTATACATAAATCCATTTTTATATACAATATATACATAAAATATACATAAATTAACTCGCATATATATAATAAATGCCTATTATATATTCGTCAATAAAAAAAAGTTTATTTTAATTACTGAATTAATTTATTTTGATAAATAGATACACAAAAGATTAGTATATTATAATATGTTTGCGGCCGATGCTACTTTATTTTTTTCAATAAATATAATCCTCTTTTTTTTACCATCTTCTAAATCCACGATTTGTCAAAAGTTATCATGATATCTCGCGAAATCTTATTAAGCGAGGCCATATTGGACATTATTGTTCCGAATGGTATTCTTGAATGTACTGAAGAACGAGTACCTTCAATATTATCCGCCAAAACCCGTTCTCAAGCCTTTTATGGTATGTATATATATTGTTCTGTTTTTAACCTTATTTTTATTTCTATTTTATTATTTTATTTTTATTTCATTTTTATATTATTCCTTTTTTAATTGATGACTCTTTTCTTTATACTTTCATATTATCAAAGATGAACTATTACGTTTTTATCTTGTTATTAGGCTACCTTCTGACTCTGCCATCTATGATCTTGCTACCGTGAATGCTTTTTTTCATCAACTGGACATAAATGTGGAAGCTTCTCTGAACGATTCTTATAATGTTTCTGTCCCATCACTTTCTCCTATTCCTAGATCGTATCATCACTCGATTAGATCTCGTTCTAGTTCTACTCCAACTCCTCCTTCGATTCCTGGATCTCCTTCTTGCCATCCCTCTGACAAAGTGAATAAAATGTCGGAAGGTTCTGTTATTTATTCATGCCCTTATGACCCAAATAAAGATGATGAAAAAATGGTTATTGTCAAGTTTAATAATCAATGGATTTGTATAGTACCATTAAAAATGTCTGTGAGTAAGTATCAATTAATCAATATTATCATTCTTCTTCTTTTATGTGAAATGTGTAAATCTGAAATTTTTCATTTTGTTAATACGTAGATTTCATGAAAACACGTTCTGCTAATCCATCATTATCTTTAAATGTTTCTGTATCTTTGCAATCATCATCCTCGATGGTCGATGAAAAAGATACTCCTCAACTTTTTGGCCAAATAAATTTGCTAGCAGGTCTTGCGGATGGTATCTAAATAATGTTATTATTTATTGTTGAATAATTTTATGTTATTACAGTATTACCTAGAAAAAATATTAAATATTTATATTACATATCATAGATCCAGTTTTTGAAGGTTTTTCCACTCCTTTTCATATATCTCCACCTCGTCTACAACCATTAAATTCTGTAAACAAAAGAAGCTTATATGGTCCAATTAAACCTATAAAAAAAAATTGTTCTAAATCATTATCTTTAAAGAATGCTTTAACTGTTCGTATGCGAACAATAAGCGTTTCACCATTAGACAACGCTTTGATGATTGCAGTTGAGATTGAAAACAATAATGCTGAAACAACTGCTTCATTTGCTGTGGACAAGATCAAAATAGATGTTCCTTATAGCTTTGTGACAAGATATGAGTGTACACAAGAAAAGACTACAGTATGTTTCCGATTAAATCTTCTTGTGCAAAATATCTGTAAAAAAAAGTTATTATTATTATTTTTATTTATTTTTTAATTTTTTATATACCGTAGAATGATTTTCCGTTAACGTTGAATCCATTTGATCAAGTGTCTTTTCTTTATAACATCGTAATACTTGAGAAACCTTCCTTACCTACCCTCCCTACACAACAATATTTCCTTCCATCATCTACAATGAGCTCTCGCGGATCTTCACGTAGAAGTTCTGTTTCTTCTATTTTTTCAAATAAGATACCTGCATCATCTCCAGCTGAAGATCGACAGCGTCCACTTTCCATTAAAATAAGAGGTTCCCCCATTTTAAAAAATGAGAAAATACATGCTATTGAATCTAAATGGAATTGTAAGCTAGATTTATCTAGTTTACTTAAACGTGATAATTCAATACCTCTTAATAAAATAATTCAACAAAGTCAACAAAACTCAAGATTCACTGTATCTCAAACGTCTGTTTCTTCAAGAAATTCGACTTTTTTATCAACCGATGTACCAACTCCAACCTCTATAAAAACTTTTAATTCTGATTTAAATATTAAGAAACATTGGAGCGTTCCAACTGCACTTGAATCAATAAATGGAACTCTTGTTGGTGGTAGAGTTCCGAAACAAAAAATTGTCATTGATAGTGGTGATTGCGTTGCTGTGTCATTTTCTGGTAGGTTTTCTTTCTAAACTCTTTAACTTTTTTTTTTTATTTTTTTTGTAATTCTAATTTTTTTATTTATTATAGTTAATTCCGAGGTTGTGGTTGGTCAGATATTCACTGTACAAATTACTATATTCAATAAATCGAGTGAAATAAAAAAATTCGAAGTTAAGGTTCCCAACAAAAATCAATTAGAAAATAATAAATCACCGTTATCGATAGTAACAAAGCTTCCTAGCGATAGTTATGAAGATATTTCAATGCTTTCTATACGTGGCAATCTATCGAATAAAATTGAGCCTTTTATAAATGAATCAGACTTTCTCAATAAATCTTTAGAGTTCGAGACTTTTGATGCTGATCTCGTTTGTTTAGAGAATAACATTTGTACAAGGTAAACTATACACACATCTGTATAGATCCATTTTTTTAACCGTTCACTTTATCTTATGTTAATAATTTTTAATATTTATTTAGACAAATACAACCACTAACATGTGAAACTGTTTCAATAAGTTTCATCGCCATGAAAGAATCTTTACATGTAATCGATCTAGTTCAAATTGTAAATACCGACACGGGCTTTGTAACAAACCTTCGAAACGTTTTAGAAATATTAATTCGTAGTAGAACCGATGTTACAACGTTCCCAGCATTAAAATCTGAAACTGACAACAACTCAATATTCAATGATGTTATTCCAATTCGAAAACAACTAATCGTATCTTAATCTGGCTACACAAACAAAAAAATTATGATTCCTTCGTAAACTTCATATTCGTTTTTTTTTCCGTTTATTCAAAACCACATTTTTTTAGAACCATTTTAGATTTTGTAAGTACACACCAAAAAATAATTATAGATTATACAACATATTAATCGATTTAAGACGAACAATGGATAGCTGGCATATCTTTAAGCATTTTCTTCATAATACCATAAACTTTTGTTTCACTTTTATTTTCTCTAGGACTTTTCATTTAAATCATTTCACGCATTTTTTTTATTTTTTAACCTACATCACACATCATTTATTAACCTAATCACAAACACAAACAAACACATATTATCCATTTATTATATACAGATATACCCTAAATAACCACACTATTATTTTATATGTAAAAAAAAAAAAAAAAAAAGGACTTTAATATTGTAAGAAATACTACTAATGTACAGTTTGTTTATAGTAGTATTTCTATTACATTTTTAAGATTTTTATTACTTAAAAAAAAAAAAAAAATCATTCAAATGCCAATTTTATGAATTGCATGCTTTACTTTGTTTTTTTTTCTTGTCATTTAATGTTAATTCTATTAACGTTAATGAACACCATTTAAACTATATCGTGAAACAACATTTCGTGTTTTCGGAGCATTTATTCCGTGAATGTTTTTTTTCTTTTATCGAAAAAGGTTTAAGATTTCGTGAAACTCTTAAATATACGTGATGTTCCACAAAAATAAGTAAATTTCGTACTAAATCTTTTAATAGAATATAGATGAAGATTGATTTCATATACTTTAACTACCTAACCTTAATTATCAAAAGATGAGCGTTGGGTTTTTCTAAAAAATTTTTTACAAACAGGTCTAAAATCTGAATATGTATATATATTAAAATATTATAGACATTGCGCTAAATATCATAGAATATTCTCGATTTGTTTATTTCGTTTTATCCATTTTAAATTACATTACTACAAATTTACGAACTTCGCTTTCACGTATAACTTTTACTGGCAACTCTATCATTTTTTGTTTTCTTTTCTACTTTGTACATTTTAGTATTTGACACAAAGAATTAATAAAACATCCAAGATCTTTGAAAAATCAAATATGCAGGATTCTTAGTAGCTTTGATAAGTTTAATGAATTCAAAACTAAGGTGTTGGTTAGACAATGAAATTGGTGTTGAATTGGTGGAATTGGTGAAATTAATTTCACCAGCATCTCTATTCAAACTTTATGAAATTAATCATCGTGAGCACTATCAAGAATGGCATTTACTTTCTCGAAATAGCGTCAATGTATGTCCCAAATTAACGCGTATATAATATAACAGGGTAAATTTATTAGCGGACAAAAATTGTGTATACTATTTTTACTTAGGTTAATTTCATGCAGAACTTTAAAGAAAATTCACGAGTGACTTTCGTTGCATCAGTTATTCATAACAAACTAACAAGAAACTGGTTTTATATTTTGAAATAACGCGCAGGTAAATTGAATAACGCGCATATAAAGTAAATAACGCGCAAGCAATTAAATAAACGCAGGTGAGTATAATTTCGTGCTTATACGGTATATCTAGAGTATTTTCAACTGTACTATATTACTCTTTACTGATATGAATTCCCTTTATACTCATGTATACAGTCGGTATAACGAAAATCCAGGCTGGTCAAAAAAAATTTCAGTTACCTATATTACAGAATTAGATTGAATTGTTACATAGATTTAAAAAAAAAGTAATGTTTCTTTACGTAAGTGGAGGGCTTATTGTTCTCACAGCTCAACCCCTAAAGTTTAACGTGATCCTCCTTAAGGGTCAGAGATTTTCCTTTCGGTCATAACCCCCATACTTAATTTCATTCTCTCTACATTGCTTCCTGGGAATATTCTCCACAGAACGGTCTTTCGCGTTTGTGTTACCGCCACTAGAACATTCCATCGACGCCTAAGCCGAGGTGTAACAATCGAAGATTCTATGAAGCCACGATCACGAGAACTTACTATTGCTAATTTTAGAAACGCCACTTTAGCTCGTGCCACTATTCAAATATATTCGACATTACAATTATCTTAATAATAATAGATCTTTATAGGAAATAAGTTTATGTAGAATGACCGTATGTACATATATTTTTCGGCATCATAAATGCACGTATGTAAATCAATTCTGTGAAATAAGCGTCTTTATAGCAATTGTAAAGGGTTAAACTTTATATTCAATATCGATATGGTAAGATTTAACTCGGAAATTTTTTTTATCCAAAATATCAATTCATTATAAAGCTGACGTAATTCAGAAGAAAATTTTTTAAAAAATTCACTTGCGTACTGCGAAAGATGTAAACACCGCATATATGCATCACATATTCCACTCTAATTCGGACTCTGAATTGAAGTGTTATTTTGGAAAAAAGGCTTTCCAAGTATTAACACTTGCCGATATATCCTTCACAACTTACTATAAAGACCTTCATTTCACAGAATTGACTTACATATGTGCACATATGAAAATAGATGACCTATATGCACATCACCATTCTAGTTTTATGGTGAAGAGATTGGCTTGACACTAGTTTTATTTGTGTTAGTTTTGTTTTTGACATACAATAATTAATCATTAATCCTCATGCAGAACAATTATCAATTATCGGGCTATGCGATTTGTTTTACTCAATTCTGACAAATCATAGCAAATTACAGGATCACTAAATATAAATACAAAAAGTAAAATGACTTTCTTGGACTTAAATCATAGTAAATCACTGTGAATCACAAAAAATCCCCTTGTCCTTTTTAATGATAAACTCATATTCATTCGCCTGTAAAGTTCATATACTACGTACGCTATTGCATTTTTTTGATGAAGGGATGTAACATGATTTAATGATTTTTTGCAAATCTCTACTCAATTCAAGTATAAATGATAAACCAATGTTCCATTTTCTCTTGGCGTCACTCATACCAGGATGGTAGTATTGAAATACTGTACTTCGTAATTTTAACATTCTAAAGTGTGAAAATCAGAAGTTGAGAATCAATTAACTTTTTTTTTTTTAACATTCATATTGAATATCTCAGTATTAGTGTTCCGCACGGTCCGGGTTTTGTACAGAACCGAACTCGAACCGAAAAATCGGATCGAGTCTAGACTTAAACACGGAACCGAACCGGAACATGAAATATAATATCACCTCTCACTATACCGATTCTTGGCTATAACGATCAAATATACAAGTTACCGAGTCTGTGTCAATAATTTGCTGTCACCAACGTCAGAAGCTTATCGATTCGGTTATTGTTAATTTACTAGCTGTACAGGCTATAGTAAAGTATCCGGTGTACATGTTATTTGAAAAACCTGCCGATGATTATCATCGACTAATTTAGAAAATCAAGACCGACAATTTAATCGAATATTTACTTACACGAATTGACCAAAATTCAACATATATGGGAA